GGTACAAATCCTGTACACGCCACTGGGAGGTGAAGTGCGTTAATTCCTGCGATATGCTCTCAGCAAGCAAAGAGGATCAGGCAATGGGAGCACTGGTGCATGCTCTGATGCGATATCTGCCTGGCCGCTGCTGAAGCTTTCTCTTGTAGGGTGCAATTGGCGTCGATTCCGCTTGAATCTGCTTCCATTTGTCGCCATAAGATAGGAGCGATTATGTTCACTGGTTTTCACCACTCCAGGGACCCAGTGATGGCTGTGGGGATCTAGTACCCGTAGAGAATCACCTGGGTGGAGCACAGATAGTGTCTTAGAGGGTTTGTCATACTGCAATTTCTGTTTCTCCTGCCTCTCTTGTAGCTTCGCGTTAGTGTCACCATCGACTAGGCACGGTGTGCATGCTGCTCGCGTTGCTGAAAGATTGGTCTGGTAGACTCTTGAGTTGAGCAGTTCTGCTGGCGAGGGAATGTTGTGCTGTAATGGTGTGCTTCTTAGGCACAGCATAGCCATATGTGGGTCTGTGTTCGACTCCTTGCATTTCTGCAGCAGAGCTTTGACAGTTTGCACAGTCCTCTCTATGAAACCATTTGCCTGTGGGTAGTGGTAACATGGTAAAATCCGTAGTTCTCACTGAATTTCTAAAATAGAGCTGAGGTAAACTGTGTATCGTTGCCTGTAACGAGCTTGCTCGGAATTCCATACTCCTCAAAAGATCGACTTCATGTGACCGATTGTTGTGTCAGAACGAATGTTGTTCAACTTTCTGACCAATGGGAACTTGCTATAATAGTCTGAGACCAGCAAGTAGGAGCTGTTGTTCCAGAAGAACAAATCGGATGCCAGTGTGTGCCATGGCCTCGGTGGGACATCATGTGGCATTAGGGGTTCCTTCATATTGGCCTTCTGGTTGTGCTAACATGGAGGGCAATCCATCTCATCTATGTCCTTGCTGATATTGACCCAAAATACGGATCCTTTGGCACGAAGTTTGCATTTCTCAGCACCTTGATGTGCGTAGTGCAGTTGTTCTAGCACAGCAAGCTGTAATGCTGCAGGAATGACAATGCGTGTGCCTTTCAGAACTATTCCGTCTGCAACAGTCAGTTCGTCACGATAGTTTCAATACGCATGAAGGTGTGTATAGGACACTTTGATCTCTTACTAGGCCATCCCTGTGTGATGAGGGATCTAAGAGAGTGCAACACGTCATCCTTGCTTGTTGCGTCCTTGATCTGCTCAATCCGTGTGAAACTAGCATTCAAGTGTAGGTGCAGCTCGTGAACAGAAACATCTAGCCCTTGTACCGTGTCACCTAGGCATGGACTTATTCTCGATAAGGCGTCAGCTAGTGGAATATCCTTCCCAGAGACACACTTAATTTCAACGTCGTACTTCTGTACTCGGAGCATCATCCTGGAGATACGAGGTGGAGTGCTGGAAAGGTGTTTCTTGAATATCGCCTCCAGCGGCTTGTGATCTGTCTCTGCAACAACATGTCGTCCGTACGCGTAGTAGTGGAATCTCTCAAGACCATGTACAATGGCTAGCATCTCTCTCTCGATGTTGGAGTATCGAGTCTCTGTATCAGACAGGAGCTTGTTCTGTACTCGACTGGCCCTTTGTCCTGAATCAGGGCTGCGCCAAAGCTGCGTTGCGAGGAGTCGACCTGGATAGTCACCGGGTTGGTGTTGTCGAAATACTGTAGTGAATTAGACAATGAAATCATGCCTTTGATGCTGTCTACGGCAGACTGATGCTCTGGGCACCAATGGAACTCACTGGATCTCTTTTGATCGCGTTGGCTGCGCATTCCGCGAGGTTTGGTATGAACCTGCTCAGGAACTGCATCATGCCAAAGAAGGTCTGCAGGTCTGCAAGGCATTTTGACGGGTCCATGCTGTTAATTGCTTCGACCTTCTTAGGATCAGGCCGGAGTCCGTTGGCGCTGATGATATTGCCAAAAAGGTGATCTCTGTGCATCGAATTTTGCACTTATCAGCATTAAAGCACAGACTAGCTGTTTCAGCTGCGTGCTTCATGATGGCTCGTAGCTTGCTGTCATGGTCACCTTTACTGTAGCCATACACGATGATATCGTCGGCAATCGTTCGTCTACCTTCTTCTGGAAGATATCTTGCGTACAGATCAATCCGAAAGGTAACCTCAAAAAACGGAATCTGTCATGTGGTGTATTGAATGTTGTGTACAGCGAGCTCTCATGGTCTAACTTAATGTTCCAATACCAACTGCGAACGTCTACTATAGAGAAGTACTTTGCTCCGTTGAGCTTGGGAAGAACTTCATCTATCGTTGGTGTACAGTGGTGAGGCCGCTTGATAGCAGAGTTTAGGTCCGTTGGGTCTAAACACAGTCGAAGCGCATCATTACTCTTAGTGACACATATTAGGGAGTTGACCCAGTCTGTGGGCTCATCCACTTTTGTTATGATTCCGTGAGCTGTGAGGGAGTACAGTTCTCTCTTCAGCGGCTCACGTAATGCCTCTGGAACTCGGCGTGGTGGATGCATCACTGGTGGCACTGTGGGGTCGAGGGTGACGTGAAATTAGCCTTTGAAACACCCGATGCCTTCGAAACAATCCTTGTGTTGACGCGCAGTAGTTCAGCTTTAGCAGCAGGATCACCTGTAGGCGCTTGTGTAGCTGTCGTGTCTTGTTGCGTAGTAATGCTGTAGTTCAGCGTAACTAGCTTCATATCCCGGCATGTAGGCAGACCCAAGATAGTTGGTCCATCAGCATTGACTACACGGAATGGGTATGCATTGGAGCATCCATTGTGAGTGAGAGTGAGCATACATGTACCGTAGTGCTGTATGGATTGACCTCCAAATGCAGTAATGTTAGTGTCAGATGGCGTTAATCCGATGAGTGTACCATTAGAGTCGCAGTGTTGGTCTGGACACAGCTGTTTGTACGTGCTAATCGGAATAACGTTTCCTTCTGCTTCCGTGTCAATTTTGCATATCAGCGGCATGTTGCATCCACCACGGTCCACATGTACCTTGCATGAGTACTGCCTGTGTATCGTAGACAGATCCTACACTGTCAATCTGCAGTGAGTGGAAGTACAGCTGAGGGCTAACTGGCCGGTCATCACTGTGCTCTGTGCTAGTAGTAGCTAGGCTATGTATACCCTGTTTGTACTTGAGCCTTAAGTCTTTGGTTTGGTGGTAACCAGTTTTCGGCTTGAATCCTTGCCCTCCGTTCGCGGTCTTGAAGGAGTGGCATACAGATCGCCAGTGGTTACTTTTGCCACATGCTTTGCATTTAGCTCCGAAAGCAGAGCACATCAGTTTCTGAGATCGGTCGTGGAATTAAGGTGCCGCAGCTTCCACAAACACTCTTCTGTGTGCTCTTATACTTGTGCGATGGGGCTTGACGCGGACGGTCCATGTGCTTCATTGCATCTACTCTAGTCTTTGTGCTTCTAATGTCGTGCAACTGGTTGCTCGTTGCCTCCAGCGTTCTGGCAATATCGATGGTTCTATCAAGCGTTAGTGTGTCATCAT